AGATGCACCGTGATGATGTAGTCACAGTGTAAACCTGCTCTTTACAGGACGGTGAATTCTTAGATTCCAGTGAATTGTCTCACTCTGAACAGTCTTAGAAGAACAGTCCCAGGACCTTACCTGGAGCCTGTCACCCACCTAATATTGGGTGCTTGATAGGGAGGAGTGTTTTGTGGAGGAGTTGATGGGTTCCTTACTGGCAACACACATACCTACCTCAACGTTGTCGCATCTGTTGTTTCTTATGAGGCTTAACTGAGGCAGACAGATCAATTTTAAGTAAAATTGAGGAGTGTTATTTGGTTACAGAGAATTTTCCCAAGACGGTAATCTCCTTCCAGCAGGAAAAACAGTGGATTTAACTTATCGTTATTCTCATGGCTTTCATGTAACAGGTGGCGAACTGCCCAATAACTTTCCTCTCCCAAGTGCATCTACCAGCTGTCTGTCCTCAGCTTTTCATCCATGACGAGAGGTACAGTTTAAGCAGAACAGAACTTAAAATTGGCTGCTTAAAGGCACAACCCTACCAGTTAAGAGCAAAAGTTTATTATGGAGACCAGTTGGTTACTGAAGGGCTCCAATCGAGGTCTAAGAGCTATGCCCAGCCTCCTTGTTTCATTCTGGCATACTGATACTCAAAGACGGCAGCCTGGACCTCATTTCTTATGTGGCTTTAAACGACTATATCAGAGTAACTGAGGCTGCACAGCTGTGACAAAATGGTAATTCCAATCTAATTACAATTTTGCATTGATCTGTACTTAACACACTTGTGCACACACATTGGGATTTCAGTCCTTGATCATTTGCAAATGGAAGTTGGTCATGCTTAAAGGTAATTTATTTTAAAATAACTATTGGATCAGCTTAAGAGAACCTCTAACTCCTTCTGCTTCAAATGATCTTGTTTCAGTGCCGATTTCTCCCAATGCACGCTTTATGTTTAAATTTTGGTTTTCTGCCGGTGTTAATTGCTTCTGTCAGATACAGCCAGCCAAGTGATCATTATCAAAGACCTAGATTCTGCTTTCAGTTGCTTCCGTAAAATTGCTGTAGTCTTCAACCAGTGTGAGTGAAGATATTGCAGATTTACATCTGCGTAACTGAGCTCATACTTATTGTGTCCTGCATTGTCATAGGAATGCATACATTGATTTAAATGAAGTTTGGTAATTCTGCCATCAGGACTTTTGTCCTTAATTGATATTGATTCAAGCTCACCATGCTTCCTTTTACTAATTCTCGGGTTCTCTTTTCTTTTTGATCTACAGGACTGTGTGCAGTTAAACCAGTACAAGCTACAAACTGAAATTGGCAAGGTATTTTATTATTTATTATTCATTTAACATGAATTTATTAAATTAAATTATTATTAATTTAACATTTATTAACAGTAGCAGCCAACAGCTTCATTGTTCTGTGCACTGTACCCCCCATGCGCCCTCCATCCTCACCCCCATCCCACACATAATCCCTGCTCTGGAGATCCTGCAGCCTTTATTTTCTTCTCACCTGTTACTTTTTTCTATTTTCCTCTAGATCAATGTAGAACAACTTCCTCTGAAGTCTAAATTTATTTTCCTTCCAACTGAAAGTAATTTTGTTGACTCCCTTCCAGGTTGTTTCTTGCCAAATGTAACACGAAGGACCTTAATGTATTAGTATAACCAACTAGAAAAGAAAGATAAAGGCAGGCATTTGCTCTGCATCAGGACTAGTTTAGTTTTTATTTTCATGTAGAAGTTGCTGATTTAATTCCATTCGGTATTTAAAGGACTCTAAGTGATTCCAGAGAGATTTGGTGGAAGTTATTTAAAGGTCTGAATTGGTGAACAGTTAAGACACCTGCATGATTGGACCCCTGCCATAGCTGCAGATGGGTTGATAGACTGCTGTTTTCTAGAAGCTGGACCTGCTGTTCCCAGCTCTGTACTTCAGTTGAAGTGACTACACCTGCTGCTGCACAGTTCCATTAAAAGGGATTTTTAGCCCTAACTCTACAGATCAGACTCTTCACTGTACAGAATGGGGTCTCCTTGCTTACAAACTATCTCTGTGGATTAGTTAAAGGATCCAGGTTAGCAAGTGTCAGGCTTTAAGAAGAGAGGTGTCTTCTGATCGTACTGTGACTTCACTCTGCAGCTAGCCTAGGGTAGGGTGATGACTGATGTACATCAAAGCATACACATGCTTGATCTCCAAGTCTTAGCACCTGTTTTCTGTGATGGAACTACAACATTTGCCTCCTTGCTCTTCCTTGCTCTGTCGCTATCCACACGGTGAATAGCGACAGAGAGGATGGCAGCTAATTTCTGTTGGAATCACTTGAGGGCGTATATCAATGTATATGCCATAGCAGTAGTGTGTCCTAGCTGGCAGGTTCCTGCACACACCCACCCCACCTTCTCCTGCGGGTATGTCCCAAACCTGCAAATACATCAATGGGGCTGCTCCAGGATCTCTCTCTGCACCTGTTCTTGAGACCTCAGCCTCTGGTATGTTTGTGACTGGCAGCTGGGGATGACCCCGAAGGGGCCTCCCTGGCATATTTCTGGTTTTGGAGTGTGTGTGCAGGAGCCGGTGGGTAGGGCATACTTAGGAATGACCTGACTGAGACATACTGTTGGTGTAGTGTAGATATATCCAGAATGCATCCGCTAAGGTGAATAGTGTAAGACTACCATAGATGGAGAGTCCTGGAGACCCTTGCTAATTCTGCTTCACTTCCTCAGACTTGAAAAGTCTCATGCATGGCTAGCCTCTGAGAGGGCTTTGCACAGAGCTTTGCACAGAGCCTAACTCAAAGCCCGAATGACATGCATTATCCTAACCCTAGTGAATAAAAGGCAGGTTCACTACTAGAAGCTTATTTCACGAGTTAAAAAGGATTGTTTGGATCTGTGCATTTGCTTCTGCCCCATTACATTTTTAGGAAGCAGCAGGAAATGCAGAACTGGTTCGAGGATCTTCCATTGCTCCAGTGTGTTTGGAATCTGTGAATTCAGCTTTGGGTCCTGCCTCCATTTAAAGCTAAATGAAATCTCATAAAATGAATGGAAATAGCACGTGCAGTGAGAACAGTGTGTGTGTGCGCGCGCGCGCGTGTGCACGTGCATGGAAGGGAAGGTTAGAGGAGGGGTTATAATTATATTTTTATGTCTCTATTGTAAAACCTTGAGTGTTTAATATAAAATGAACACCTAGGTAGAATTCTTGCAGGCCCTACCTGATCCTGGAGGCTAACTTTTGCTGTATTTTGATGGGTTATGTGGAACTAAAGGATTATCAGGGCTTTCTGCACTGGGGAGAATCTCACTTCTGTTTTTCTAATTTAACACATTAAGCAATTCACGTTGGGCCTGACCCAAAGCCCAGTGAAGTCCCATTCCCACTGATTTCAGCCCTCTCAGACTGTGGGTCAGATCCTATTCCACCTTGTAGGCGACCTAGTGAATATAGACCCATAAGTGTGATTTTGTTCCACTCTGCTTCAGTCTTAAAAAACAGCTAATGTGAAAGGATAAGTTCTTCTTTGGCTTGCTGCTGTTTGTGACTTCTTAGTAAGGCTGAGATGATGGGCTCTTACAGAAGTAGTCGTGTTAATATTTTTTCAGGGATTTAAGCTGGGTAAAAAAAGTTCATACTTAGGTGCCTAATGGGTGGACTAGGATCGGCCTTTCGGGCTTCATTCCAGCTCTTATTAAAGTCAAAAGAAATGCACCTAATACTTTAAACAGCCCTTACTTTGGTTCTTATTCAACAGGTATCTGAGAGGAATCTTGTTATAGTTTAATGTCTTGGCCATGTAAAATTTATGGTGTTGTCACAAAGCCAGGTGAAATCCAGTGAGGTTGACTGAGTTTCGCTTTGAGCTCTTATCCCAGCTGGCACGCTCCACACAACTTTAGCCCTGATCTTTAAATGAACCGCACCTGACCGGGCAGTGAAAAACAGCAATTTACACAAGCTGACGAGAGAATCTGCACAGTGCAATAAAAATGGTGCCGGGCATGACTTTGTGGATGGGGATTGATGAGCACATAAAAGCACATGCACACCTGACTTTGAAATGTAATTTTCCTCAGTGCTCAGCTTAGAATAGAAATTATGACCTTGGCTCAGGGCATTTTCTGAGGATTAATAATCAAGAGGAGTTAATGGCCTGAGGCACTGCTCTTTTGAGATGGTTATTAATCCCTGGGAAGCGCTCCATGCCTCCAATATTATTGTCCAAATGGAAGAGCTGCCAAAAAAGAAAGACTTTGTCCCTAACACTGCAAATGACCATGAAAAGGAGAGAGAGCCCCTCCTTTCCCTCCCTCCTAGTGTGCAGATATCTGATTCATCAGACTTCCCTTTTGTAGGTGAAGGCAAGTGGGCACTGGGTAGTGTGCAGTGTGCCGTCACCTGGAGTGTTTTCTCAAGGCCATGGAGGGAGGTAGTTTTTTTTATTTTTTCTCTCCCAAGGCCAAACATTTGGAGCATTGAGCAGCAGGCAGACAAAGCAGAGCAGCTGAGCTGACTGTGTAATTTGTGTTTATTTATAGGGTTCCTATGGTGTTGTGAAGCTGGCCTACAATGAGAGTGATGACAAGTATTACGTAAGTGCTGCTCTCCCTTTGTCACTGGATGCTGTTGATGCTTCTGATTCCCTTTCACATCCCGGAGAACTCCTCTCTGCCTTGCTTTCTTCTTCTCCCCCCCCCCCCCCCCCCCCCCC